GCAAACACTAAATTTATCGATGCCGATCAGATTGTTTCTGCACCGACGGCGTCGGCACCGCGGCCAGGTACCTGTACTAATTCTCGGCGATGACACCCCCCAGCGGGTGCATCGCAAGCCTCATATACTCCTGCATGCACTAAAAACGCTTAGTAAACTCGTAACAGGTTTTTGTAGGCTTAAATCACCAGTTTTGTTCGGTGATAGTTCGCGAATGTGTGTATGTTGGTGTGTTTTGTCGCCGCCGTTGAAGGTCGCGCACAGTTTTGCATACGATTGATTGCGCCCGGTCTAATCCGAGCCAACACCAACGAACCCCCCCCCTCTCGCTTTTCATCGCCACCCTATGCACGTACAGTTGAACGTGGATCATTTGAAACGTTCAACGAACTTCAGTCCAACATCAGTGACCAGTGGTGGCAGTGGCGCCGCCGGTCGTGGCGGCCGGTTGTGGTGGCTGTGGCGGAGGCTGTGACGGCTGTCACCAATCATCTCATCCCAATTTTGAATCATCTCTACTTTCCAAATTGTTTCTGTGTAGTAATCTGGGTGCCAGACCCTTTATGCGTGGCCTAGGGTTTTTTCCATGCTTCTGATGGAGTGCGCCAGCAGCTGTGTAGATTCGGTCTATGTGCGTCCCGACACCCTATGACGGACAGGGTGCGAGACTGGCTGGGTCGGGATGCTTCACTGAGTCATTTGATTCGTGAAATACCGAAATATATACAGTATGTATGAGTAAGCACGCATGATTCGTCACAATTTTTGCCCCAAATCGCTCTTGAAATTCTTGCCTGTTCTATGGTAGCCTTCTTTTCAGCACGAATAGAACCGGGTTTCGAAATCTGTCATGCGTCAACTTCTGGCGCCACATTTACCTCAGTTAAACTCATACAATGGGGTGGGTAAGGATAAGTATGCTCCTGACATTGAAAATCTCTCTCTATATTGTAACTTCTCTGAGAATTCCATCAATTTCCTTGCTTCGCTGCTGAAATCAATCATTCGCTCTTTTTTATTGTCTCGTTTCGGCCCTTTCCCTTACACTGACAGAACTCACAGCTCATACGTCCCTCTACTTATAACTTCTTTACACTTCAAAACCAATAGCCAATACTGCTTGGAAACTTTGTAGACTTCAAGCTCATAAGCACTTCTCATTCTATAACACCCCCTCCCTTATGTGTTCTACGCGTTTTTATGGTGCATTCTAAAACAATGACGAACTTGAAGGAAGATTTTAATCACTTTTTGTCCACACCACCCCCTCGTTACTGAAATGTAACGATGTCCATAGGGCTTTTCTGAGAAAACTCCTTCTCCATAGATTGCTTGGCTGGCGAATATAAAAGAATAACCGAGTTCAGTAGTTCATGAGCACCCGAGGATTGATAGATTCCTCGGAGCCAAGCCTTTTTTAAAGCTTAAGTTAGGTATTGATTAGTTGCGGAATAATAAAATCGCAGGATCTCATAGCTGCGGCGCGGTGGCACCACTGTCCATTCGGACTCCCCCACATGGTATTCGCCTATTCGATCTGGCCTTTCATTACAGCGCATCGAATGGTGCACGATGCACGCACAAAGCACTTTTAATATAACGCGTACGTAAATGGTTTCAATTCTGAACGCCCCACCGGCTGCCATCACCGCAGCGACCGTCGATCGCCGCGTTACGACGACCTTTCTGTGGTGCTACGGCCGCGGACGAGACGATCGCGATGCCGCCGTTCGCGCCGATCATCTGTGTTCTGGCGATAACGACGAACGATCGATGCCCGCAATCGCTGTTCGACCATCCCCTTTCAGATCTGCATCAAGTTGTCGCATGCAGTTGCACGCGTGAGCGATCGCAATCGCGACGTCGACAGCGCGGCGGCTGGTCGCAACGCCATAATCCGTTGTCGCCATATGCATACACACATTGACACGCACGTGTATTGTAAGTTATTTTCGTTCATGAGGACGACGAGGTACGCCCTGTCGTCTTGATGCAATCCATATTATATCACATAGTGTGTAGATGGCGTGTATGTGCAGTGTGTATATCAGTATGCATGCGCGTGGGGAGCAGATGTGTCTGCAGTATTTCCTATGAATGTCAAAATTGTCGTTATGTGTGTATGTGTGGTGTCGTTATGAAACAACAGGTCGGGATAACGGCGCTTGGCCCTTGGCACTCGGGACAATTGTTGCCAACACGCGTTCAAGCAAAGCAGCTCAGCCGCCGACCAGCTGATTGTGGTCAACGAAGCGCGATGATTGTCATACTTGTCACAATACGACCAACGGGTGACTTGACTGGAGACGACTCGTGCGTTTCCGACTGGCAACAGCCGTCGGTCGCGAATAGCCCACCTCGGCCCACACCCCCTACGTAACCCTTCAGAGTTTCACCTCATTTCACACCAACATTTCCTATAGACCAATCAGATTTTCCCTCGATCTTAATTCTTCCTCTGTGGTTTTTTCTTCTGCACAGCTTACATCTCTTTGCTGACGGAATTTTGTGCAGTAGGCGGTTGAAAAGCGAGGCGCTGCACGGCGCGGCGCCAATCTATCACTCCTCCTCACTTAAACGTGCGTCTGGGTGTTTTGGTTGGTGGTGTGTTTTTTCTCTCACACACGAAGCTTTAGTTCTTCATATAACCCCCGTATCATTGCGTGGGTTTGATTACCTCCACCAATACCTCGGCAGGCATACCATCGTGCATCGGTGAAGATTTGGACCACACATAGGGCTTTTGTGCAAGTTTACTGATTAGAAGTGCATTTTTTGCTTCCTAAAGGCCATACAGACAGTTGGGTTCAGGTTTAACCATGGGCAGGTCATCTCGATTGGAAAACTGTATTGGCATAAGCTGTAAAATTCCCTACCCTCGCTACCAATCGTATTACCTTAACTATATGGTGACGGTACTTGTGGAACACAGTTCCGAGTATAACGTGGCTGTTACGAAACTGGCGACATTTTGACAGTATTTCTGGAATGGATGGTGATCAAAGCGCCCACTGATGACAACGACCATGATGACGGCAATGGCGCAATGGTGAATGATGTAGGCTGGCTGGCTCAGCCACCGCCGTGGCCGCCGCCGGCTATGTCAGACAACAGTCATCGTTTCGGCGACGGCATTTTGCCGGCCGGCGGCTGCGATCGCAAAGAACGTTCGCACTTATACACTGTGCACTCGCCGCACATCGTATGTGCGATCAACGTGTGTGTGTGCGATTGTTTGATCGTAGTGGTGAAGTAGGTACTCGTGAAGTGCGAGGTTTGTCGCCTCCGATCCATCAACGACCAAGCGACCGATCGCCGTCACACTTGTCCATCATATCATCACTTTCTCACCCTCTTTTCTGGCCCTAGTCTCATTTTTGGCATTTTCATACCCATTGTTGCCATATATACCCATAAGACGATTTAACCATCTATTCGTTGCATAACGGAGCTTGATTTATTTTCGCGATTGGTGTAATAGGCGCGCTGGTAGTCCACCCGCTTTCTTGGCCCCGATCAATACCTACTTGTCATTGTCCTACTGTAGGTGGGCGTGGCCGAAGTGCATGCAAGCTGCCTCAGGGGTCGAGTGACCACGGCTTCCCCGCGTGTATGGTCCCTCCGTGCCCTTCGCGCTCGTTCAACATTTTCAATGTAATAAGTAGAGACATATCAATGGCCTTACGTACTCATTCAGTAATTCACACCTGCAGTACGAATTCTCCCCGGTTTCTCCTTGTGCGTCGAGTGGCTGCACCTCGAATCAAATCGGATCGTTCGAATGTTCGGCGGCGCTTATATGGTTCGATATGTATGTGTCTGTGTGTGTGTGGGTGACTATGCCAAACTAGTCGCCGCTGACGGTGTACCGTCGCCACCTCCGCCTCCTACGACATCGCCGACGCCGCCAGCCACTGCGCAATAGACGTCGCGCCGATGTGATTCGCGCTCTGCCTTATTCACCAACGGCCATCAGGATGGCGTTTATGTTTGTATGTGTGTATGTGTGTGGTGTGGTGGTGTGTGTGTTGAAGTGTGTGCTGGCGCCTTTCGCGTATCATCATCGCAAACTTTGAGCTCTAGTCATGCACGCCGCACTCGTATCAATGGCTTGGCGGAGACGATGCCTGTGATGGGGGTGTTGGCCATTTGTCCATTTTGTGCCGTCTATAGCGCTCAAAGTGTGAATTCAACGTTTTCAACCATTACTGTCATCGTCTCTGCTGTCGTACAGTTTCGGTAGTGAAGCGTGCAATTGGCGGTTCTTTTTCTCTCATTCTTCACCTTGCTACGCTATCTATGTATCGCGCATGTGTTTTCGCTGTCGCTGGTTGCAACCGGTTTCCTAGCGCACCATCGTCGTCGGCGTGTTGGCGTCGTCGTCGTCGTCGTCGTCGTCGTTGGTGGGCGCTGGTCGGCTACCACCACCACACAGCCGTCCAGGCCGCTCCCTTGTTCGACGCCGTCACCATCACCGCGATGCCACCGCGCTGCGGCTGCCGTCGTCGTCGTCGTTTCAGATTCATCTTGTTCGCCATCGTTGAAATGTGCGTATACCACACACTGCCGGTCTCCTCCCCCACACACATGCACACACACCTTTACGATCTTTCTGCCACACCATCACCCACCGCCACTGACTGATGCTAACCGGAATAGATCGTTCCCAGAATGCCAATACTACTCACACATTATCCGCACTAACCCACTTGTGTGCCATCGGCTATGGATTGCGCTTTCGTTTGTTTTCTTTTTTCATTTCCATTTTCATCGCCAAACGAAACACTTTCATATTTCATGTTTAGGTTTTGTTTCTTTTTTTTCATCTTCAACATGCCTACCTGCTACGACAATTTCGATTCCTTTTTTTCGATTTTCATGACGTTCCTTTTCCTCTCTAGTGTTGATATGATTCTGATACCACATAGTATTAATAACCTCAAACAAAGGCTTTCTGTTGCTGCTAACGATTCTCGCTTTTGCGCAATTGCAGAGGCTTCATGTTCGACGAGAACAGTAATACCGCCGGCGCTGGAGCTGTGGTGGCGCAGTCGGGTGCACTAGCTCCCGGTAGCATTCCCGGAAATGTCTCAGCTCCAAATTCGGCTATCGTCACACAATTGCTCAACGTCAAGGATAGCCGTTGGCTTCAGGTAGAAGAACGCTGTGTACTCATGTCACATACACACACCCATACACACTCGCGTACTCATGTCACATACACACATACACACTCGCATATCCACATGTATTACAATTTTGTCCATAGACACATCACATACGGATAGATATACACACGCAGACAGACATATTTCACAAATATACACATGCATATATATGTACACTGATTTGTCTTTCTGTATGTGTGGGTTTATTGGGGCAAGGTGGCTTTCTGTTTGAATGTGAATTCCGCTTCAATATCACACCGATACTTAACGCTAAGCAAAAAACTGGCTGGCCCAAGAGCACTAAGTGAACCTGAACTGTACGATGACCGTCCGTGGTGAATCCGAGCTAAATTCAGCCTGTCCAATAATTCCCTGCTTAGGCGCGGCGCTCAGGACTGAACAAGCAAACACGCGCACTTCTCAGCTGTCTCTCTGATGATGATGTCTTCAAGAGGCCAGCGATCCGTGTCAAGTACCGGAATAATTGGTCGGAACGCGTTTACCATAGTGAAAGTGAATCTGGAGACGAACGCCTGTTATGGATACAATTTTGACCCCTATACCAGCATGGAGGGACATTGGTGAAATTCGTTAAATTTTCCTGTTTCACGTAGGCCTCTGGCAGGTGTTCTGATCAGCTGAGACAGTAGGGATGGGTTCCCCTGATCGTATCGCAGTGTTCCATTCTACCCCCCTATGGCCCCCGTCACGTCTTTCACGTTCATTTAACGACGTCCAGACCCTCTCTCCAGTAACATGTTTATTCGTTGTGTTTATAGCATCACGGGCATATGTCCGTTACGCGGCCACGCATATCTGCCAGTTGATGATGTGATATGTGCCTGGATATGCACGTGCAGCTGTGAACCGATTCACAACCTCAGTATAAAACCCCATCCAGAAAGAAATCCCAAAAAATATCTCCTAAAAATTGCCCGCCCTTGGGAATCCCTCCACCCCTCCTCTCAAATTGCTGTTGATGATGAAGAAACCACGAATTATTCCGAATGCGTCACAACGCCGAATTCCAGCTCGCGCCATTGCTTGCTCTGTCGCTTTATCACATATGTACGTACTGTTTGCGCAATAGATTCAAATTTCCAACTTGCAAAGCTTTTTAAGTGAATTTCGCTACGATTTGGCTCCATTGGCTAGAAATCACGCGTACGTGTGTGCGTGCGTAGTGCGTATGAATGTAAGGTGTGAATGCAAATATTTTCCATCCTCTAATGTGAAATTCTCTTATCAAAGGCGTATATGTCCGTCGTATGTTCCACTTGAATGATTGGTATGCGCAGGGGTTGAAAATCTCTCTCACACCTAACTTCTCTTTGCTTTTCACTGTCACAACCTGAACCTTACGTATGCCTATAAGGGGAAACCGGTTTCTGAAGACACAGACACCCGCATCTGATGCCATCCAAAAAGGTGGTGTCGTTGCTGAGCGTCGTCATTGGTATGGGCCTGATATTTTTCAAGGTTCACTGTTTTAGGTTGAAGTCTGTCGCGAATTTCAACGTGGACAATGCGCCAGAAGCGATTTGGAGTGCAAATTCGCTCATCCGCCTCCACACGTCGATGTTCAACAAGGACGTGTCACAGCATGTTATGATAGCATAAAGGTACACATAATTTCAAGCTTTTCTAGCCTTTTCTTTTTTTTCTTTTTGTTTCACCGGCAATATTTTTCTCCACCAATATTCCCAACCGGTCAGTCGTATGCCGCCGATAGCGGCGGCTAGGCCTCGTCGTTAGCCCCGCTGCCGTGCTCTTCTTCTGAATCCCAATTATCAAAGACGAATCGATTCATTTCATTTCCAGACACCAACAAATCCACTAAAACATTCAAATTGAAAGGGATGGAACGACGAAAAACCACCAAAGGGGGGTTTGTGACGCTATTCCCGGCAATCTACTCAGTTGCATGCTTAATTTAATCGAGTAACCCCTTCCTTCCATCGACGTTTTTCGCAACCATCCCCGATTGCTCCCCACCACAATCGCTGATGCCATGTGTGTGTCATTTATGTAAATCCGGCCCCACAGCAGAGCGGCCTCTTTTTCTTATGGAAGAATCGCATGCGCAAAATGAAACAGACTGACCGAACAAGGGCCGGCTACTGTGTAGTAGTTACTAGTTGAGGGAACGAGAGGAAACGATGATAGGAAGTAGAAGGAGTAGGAGTGTAGAGGGGTAGAGAGGACGGCTGGGAGATATTGCGGCCCAGCATGCGATCCTTTATTCTTTGCATTGTTTAATGTCGTATTGATGGCTGTTGCCAGCTGGCCTTGCGCCCTTCGTTTTAGAATCGAAATGCCAAGCGGGCCCCCTCGGCTCATTTTCACAAAGAGCGCCGATGGAACCAACCACGGGGTGAGAGGGGGCCGTCGTTCTGACTGGGGTGGGGAGAGCAGCGGACAATTGCGAACAGACTACTCTAAATTAGTGCCAACTCATCACATTCTGTTCTCCAGAGTGTGCCGTTTTTTTCACTTAGGCTACGGTAGCACTGGCGAAGTGATGGGGTGTTTCGTTAAACTTGAATTACTTGTTAGAATGTGCAAAATCTCAGCTTTAAATGGGTGTACGTGCTGTTCGCTGAATCATTTAATAATGTTGATGATGTTGAGGGTAACTGGGCCTAAACTGCCGGGGTTTATCGATAGAGACGAAGCCATCTGGCTGCAATGATCCCCTGGGAGTTGCAAATGGAGACAACACGGCCAGAGAAAAGACTCGTCGTCGTCCGTCCTCCAAACCCCCTAGAGCTCTGAATGTGATGGCGTCATTTGGAATCACGTTGATGGCATGAGAGCCCCCGTTCTTCTTCAGAACAAAGTATCTTCTCTGGAGGGTAACTTACTGTATCCGGAAAAGTCAGGTTCTCCGATTCTGTGGTATTCCCCCCTACCCCTACGGTCGGTGGTTCATTTTGCTTCCCAGCAATTTTTTCCCTCCGAACTTAGTTGCGGATCGAATCGGCTACGGCCATCATCACATCAAAAGCGGGTGTCACTGGAAAGCGTGAAACCGGCACGGTGACGAAGTAAATAGCCGCATGATGGGAAACGTTGATGGCGTTGGAATTAGAGCATGATTCCTCTCGGGAAGTGGTCGATAATACCAGAAAGGCTATCGATCCAAAGGGAAAGGGGTTGCATTTGACGACCGCGATAGGTAACCGGTTCCAATTGGGGAGTGGTCCACGGTCACTATGGGGATGCGAACGTACGTCGTACAAGCCAAGAGTAAGGGTGAGAGTTTCAGAGAAACAGAGACAGAGTTAGACGCCACGAAATGACCATCAAAAACCAGTTTGGGCAGATGAAGCGACTGGGATTACTGACCGCGTTGGTCCAAACAGACAATTGCTGATGCGCTTTTGACACAGTTACCGTATATCGCTGAGAATAGAATATTGTCCCACCGCAGTTGAGATGGAGAAAATTGACGTTTCACTGATTCGATATTATGGCTATATTTTTGACACCATGGTGAACCTACTTCAAAAATTAAGAAATGGAGGTAGTTTTTGAGAACGGTAGGAAGCGGGTAGCAGAACGGAACATGCAGATTTCGAAGGTCCTTTACCACGTTGAGTCAGCCCATTGGGCGCCCATCTCGGCAACTTTTTTTCATTATTTTTAAAATAGAAATCAATCTTCCAATAATTCCACCACTAGTAATTGGTGCACTGTATCAAGGACAAGATGATGCATCCTGATATTTTTGTAACGTTTAAACTGCCAAATAAATCGACCAAAACGAGCTCCATCCGGATGAAAGTCTTACGCGCATGCTCGCCATCCTGTCGTCAACGTGTTATGTCGGTGAGGTAATGCAGACGGCTATGGCTGAGTTTAATTAAAGAAGCGGATTTTCAACAACCGTATTTTCCTTTTTCGTTCCCTCTTTGTAAAAGGTTCAGCTTAAGACCCTAGAATCACATGAGAACCAGCCTTATTTTTTGCCCCCAAGGTAATTCGCCTTCGGAAGCTGCATATTCCGTTAATCTTGTGGGAGTACCCGAACGCGATTGTTCGTTAATTGTAGAAGATTTTCAGGGTAAGACCCTAGTCGATCGTGACCGCAGCCGAGGGACATGCGAATAGCTAATGCTTTGTAGGAGAATTCTTTAAGTGTTTTAAGTAATATTTTCCCATATAAGGAGGCTACCCATGGAGCAGCCGCATAGCTAATCACGTGAGGGTCAACCTAATTTTTTGCTCCATCAAGGTTATTCGCTAATGCATTGTAGCCCGTCGTTCCGCGGCAGACAAGGGATGTTTTTTTTGAGGATCCCGATGTTTCTCAGACTTTTGAGGATTTTCGTGCTAGGGCTCCTTGTGTTCTTAGAGGATGCTTCTGCTCGGTATGGGTTGTTATCTGAGAGTTTCTTACCACATCACTTAGCTGCCATACGCCAGTTTAGATGACAGACAAGTGAAATGGCAGACTCGGATTGTCTAAATCTTCGTTATGATCACGCTGATTCCCAATGGCTGTCTGTCCAGGCTATAAACGCTTCCTCGAGCACGAATTCTGAAAGAAATCAGATCACGTACGGCTATCATTACGGCTCTCTTCTCCACTGTTCCCACCTTTTTTACCAAGGTGTTACACACCAGTTTCAACAATGCTCTGGCTACTACGCGTGGCTGTCATGTGCGGGTTGTGAAACGGGATGGGGGGACGGGTGGTGGAGGGCAGTGCTGAATGTTGGGTTGAGACGAGTTGCAGCGGGACGAGGGACAGGCGTGGAAGGAGGACAGCGACGCATCGATGAAAAGATATAGCCCAGAAGCCACTAGAGATCCATCATGTCAACGATTAGCATTGTCACACCCCAACTGATTCGTATCTGAACGGGGTTTAGTGAAGATGCGCGGCGGAAAAACTCGATTTTCACAAAACTCACAAGTTTTGCAGGTGTTACGTAAATGCATATTCACAGGGCCACCGGTTTTCTGCAAGTGAATTTTTTCACAGAATCGTTTACAGTGAAATATATGGGAAATATAGCGGTTTGATCATAAAAGATTTTTGAACATCAGAAAGTGGATATCATTTCGAAAAACTCACACTTCACGTTTTTATTGATTTTTTGTCCGTACTTTGTCAAAATGCCTCAAATTAAAAAGAAGCAATAACATTGTTCTTTGCAAGCAATTCGAAAAAAAGAAATTAAAAATTTAGCGCATCTGGCATTTTGCGCTGAGATAAACACAGAGTAAACACAGTTTGGAAACTGACTATTTGATCATTCTGATCACCTTGGATAAACCAGAACCTGGCGCTATACTTTCTCAATTTCTATATAGACGAAAAAATTGTCCGATATTTTATTTCGACAAATATTAGTCGGTGGGTGGAGATGGAAGTGTGGCTCTACTCATTATGCACACTGCCGAGGGGTGAGATCTCCGATTGAATCCCATCCAGGTTAACCAAGCCTTGGTTCCATCCTTCCGTCAATGACTGATGCCAGACTTGTCTGGGAGATTCACTAACTTGTGCATTTTCTGGCCCAGATTGGTTGTATAAGCTAAATTGTATTCATGTATCGTAATATGTAGTCCATATAAATAAATAAATAACTAGATAAATAATAAATAAGTAATAGGTAAATATCGCTGCACATCCCAAAGGAATTGATGAACGCCATATTTGTTATGAGTTGATGAAATAGCGGTCTAAAGCATTCACTGAAATAATTTTTAGTGCATTAATTTTTCTGACCTGGTCAGCTCGCTTCACAATGATAAGCTGTGTCTTTAAGTTCTTTCGAATCCTTGACTCTTGAAGATTGAAGGCGCACTGAAGGAAAGGTATTTACCTATTCCTCAGGCTTCTTAAGAAAAAAGAGTAGTGCACGAGAAACCACTGAGGCAACCCTTAACCACTACTGTATGCGGGTAGTTTTATTTTACTCCGTTCGAAATCCTTTTCCATAAGTTGATTGGTCCCATTTCCCTGCAAGTGAAGGCAGATCGATTGCAGGAAAGGTGCTCAAACAGAGATTACCCAAGAATCCTAAAACTACATAGGTACCGCTTCCAATTCGCAGGAAGGTGCGCAGTTTTCTTCCTTAAACCTTTCTTCCGACTTTTTTTTCCTTAGATAGTGATTTTTTTGATAAGCTTCCTAGGTAATGATTTTTAGTAAGTTTTTACATTGAAGGGCAAAACATGATAGAAACAACTGAGTTTGTTAATAAACAACGAATAAGCAACCAGTTAGGTAAAGTTAACACCATACTGATAGCGCTCACTTTGCCAAACAAACTTATCCTTGAGCGGACTTGTCGGGAGGGCTGGAGATTCAGGGCAGGGTCAACCCTGCGTTGGTATCTTTTGAAAAAATTTGCGGCACCCCTTCACAGTGCAACCATGACTCCACAAATACACCTCTCCCCCTTCTGACCTTCTCCAAACCCACATACGACCCCCTCCCAACATCACGAATGCGGCTACGATTGATACTTCTACCAACGGACGGTAAACCCTGATTCAGGGCACACAGCTAATCGCGTAAATGCTTGGGCGGCGATGTCTCACGAATCGTAGAGTAATTACTGTACTTTTCAGGGTCGATGTACCAGGGAGAATCCAAAATGCAAATATTTGCATCCACCACAACACATAAAGGATCAGCTGCTCATCAATGGAAGGAACAATTTGGCATTGAAGAATCTGATATCAGCGCAGTTGAATCAGACAGCCACCGGACAACCGATTGCAGTTAATCCGATTGCGCAAATCATGGTAAGTCCAGCCTGCTGGCCCATCTTTTCTTACACGCCATCTCGAAAAATCCCTTTCACCCCACGATTTACGTTGGCATTATTTTTTGCTCTTTTCCCTGTTCATACTTTGTTGTGTGTTCAAAAGCAGCGCTCCTCATGCATGTGCCAGGGACAAGCAGATTTTCGCTTTCCTCCTTTTTTGTGAAACTTCGTCTCATGCCTAGCGTTCCGCTTGTCCCGCTGTGTTTTTGCTACGCTGATCCCTAAATATGCCTATTTTTCCTTCTTTTTTTCTTTTTTTTTGCAGCACTCCTTCTGATTTTCGTTTAGTCGTTTTTCAGCAGCAACAAACAGGGCGTGGCGCCGCGAATATATGGCCACACTACCATATCCCTATTATCAGGGTTTGGTATATTCTCCAGTTTACAGGATCCATATCAGGCTGCTGTTTCACAGTATCGCCCTAGTAATCGTTGCGCTTCCTGTTTTTGTCCCGCGACGCGGATCATCGCGTCGCGCCGCGACGCATCATTGAATTCGCGTCGCGTCGCGACTGCGTTGCACGATTCTGCCGTGTAGTTTAACGACTATGTAAACAGCTCGTACTTGATTATCACACTCGCGCCTTGGTGTGTTTTCACCGTGCTAACGCCCCTTTCGCCATTTGTCACTATTGGTTCCTAACTGTACGCGTGTCTCAAGAGCAAGTTGTGCATGCTTTATGGCTGACAGCTCTGTTCAGCAACTGCAGGCGGCTGCGCTGCTGCACGAGGTGGCGGCGTCTGCTTGCGTCTCCAGCGCACGCTCGCAAGCTGCTGCCGGCCGCGTGTCGCACTGCTTGCTGCTCCGTCGGCTGCCGCTCTCCAGCTACCGCTGGCCGCCGTTTCCGCTGGCCGCTGCCAGCCGCAAGAGGCCACTGGATGAAGAATCGCTGCCGCCGATCAGCCAGCAGGCGCACTCCTCATCTGGCTGCTGCCGTTTCCCGCTGCGGTATTCTTTCCTTCTTTTTAGCTGCTACGTCTATTAGTTTTTTTTTATTTTTATATTTATTTTATTTTATTGACATTTGGAGCAATTTCTTTTCCAAACCAAAAGCATTATATTAGATTTTTTTTTAAACGTGGCGTGCTTTCTATTTGGTTTAGTTGTACCCTAACGCAGTGGCGTGTTGTGGCATGAGCTCCAAAGTGTGCACGTGTTTATGGTCATGACTCTCTAAGGTGGTCTACGTTTAGGCCGGTGTCCCTTGCAAACGCCCTGCCGTTGACAAGAACGGAGCTGTTGTGTACAGTGCCAATCCACAACCAGCTCAGCAGTTCAATCCCTACGTTCTACCGGGTCTTCAGGGCTATGTACCCGCCGTGTCATGTAAGTGTGCAGCTTGACAAAAAACAGATCTCTCAATCACTTCTATAACGCACAAAGTACACCATTGTTGTATGTACTAGTATACGCTTCATTCCAACTGTACTGAGTACTTCATCGGAAGGAGGAGGACGCAATGCGATTGTGAAACGTGATTGTTCCAGCGATATTGAGTCAGAAAATTACTAACGAATCACGTTACACAGTCGCAAGCAGCTCCTGTACTGCCTATGGACTGCACAATGCGCTTGAAGTGGGCCATAGGGACAACACATGCAAGCATAGTGTGACTTTATGTGCAGCAAAAAAGTGATCGTCGATTTTCCACTGCTCTCCTCTGAGTTTTAAAAATCATAAACTGCAGACGAAGCTACTTCTCTGACGTTACAATTTTCGAGAATTTTACAGCAGTAACAGGCTTGTTCGGTAAAATATGTACATTTTTACGAATAGTTATCATGAGCCTCCAGACAAATCGCCTTCTATCAGTATCCAAGCGTGAGGGCAGTGTGTGTTCCCCCTTCGGTGACCCATTCAATAACATGTGTTAATTGTTTGCTGATTGTGTCAGCATTAAAGGCAGAAGTCGGGCATAAGGGGGTACTATGGCGATTGAAATTGAGTATAGAGATGCGAAGTAGAACGACAGTGGAGAAAAAACTGAGAAAAACCGTCGTTAAGGCCGTAATCAAAAACCTCTCTCCCACTTGCAATGAAGGAGGCTGGCTTAGGGAAGAGGCACGTACAAACAAGTTTTCTGAAGATGTCAGTCGTTCTATCGGTTGATACGGCAATCAACCTAGCTGACTTCACACGTTTTGCCAGCCATGCACCACATCCCAAGGTGGGCGGTCGTAGCGGGGCAGGGCGACGATAGCGCATAGTACACACCCTGGGGCCTTATTACTGCGCCGTTTCGGGTTTTGGGTGTGGGAACATCTCTACGGGTGCGTTACCAAGTACAGGCATGACCGAAAGGGTTGGTTTGGTCAACCAATTCCCGCCTCTGCCTTTAAAGGCAGTGAACACGATGACTAGAGGGTGGATCTTTTTTGGTTGGGACCACCTCCTAATGCCTTTCTACCAATCACAACCCACGTCACCGAAATTGTTCCGCCCTCTACCCATCACTGCCTTTAAGCATCAACGGTGAAAATGAAGAATTCCTAATTGCTTGCCCAAAATTTGAGCACAATTTATGTCAGATATAGTGTAGTAGGATAAACAGCGGGCAGAAATTGCGCTTCCTGTTTTTTCGTTTAACACCTTGACGACAGCGCGGCAACTAGGTTTGCCGCGTTTTGCACGCCGCAATGGACATTGTGGCAACTATAGTTGCCACACCCTTTACATTCAGTTTTATCTTGAACGCGCCATTTCTTCCCAGGTTTTTTGTGTTCATTTTTTAGGGCATACCACAACGTAACCATGAATCAAGCAGCCTATAGAATGACCAAATATTCTTTAGTTTGGCAGAGGTTTTTCAGACCGGACGAAAATATCCGTTCAGTTCATTCCTCATTTTCTCTTCATTAACACGAACATGTAGATAAAAAAGAATATTAGAAGTGAGTACAAAGCTACTCTTGTGGCATGATATGTGTTTTTACCAAAACAACCACGTCCAAATTAATTTTGAAATCACTAAAGCAAAAGTAAGTGGAACTTGCCTTTTCAATGCTCTAACACATCATTCGACCGCACTTTCACATGTGCACCTTCCAATAAGTTTGGCACACTGAATATCAGTGGGAACATTTTGTAGCACCGAAGTATTGCGTATTTAAAGCTCAAAATCCACAGATTTGTTGTGAGGCGGCGGCGCTCGCAGAACCGCTCTGGTTCCACGCGGCCAAAAATGCCAAAACGCGCGATGTCGTCAACGTGTTAAGATTGCTCTAATATTATAAATTCATCTGAAGATAAATCCGCCTGTAAAAGTATGCGCTGTCAGTCGAGTGGAACTCAAAATTGAAGCCAATTTGTCCTTTGTTACGGTAAAATGCGATAAAATTGTTGTTTTTTGTTATCACGTCTCTTTTGTTCTCAGTAAAAAAAACCTTTAGTAAATCATAGTAAAGCAAAACGCGGGGCAAAGAGGCAGAGGCCTATTGAGTAAGAGGCTATGCCCCAGCAGACCCTTTAAACGCCTCGTTCCTCCACCCAACCAACCACTGATCCCTCGCCGTCAAACTCTAGCCCTTTTGGTAGAGAGCCACGGGTAGCGTTTATGTTGATGACGTCGGCCCCGATGTGACTCGCTCAAAGATCAAATCATTGGGGAAACCATCGAGATGTGGGGGGGGGGAAAGACAGGAGTCTCGCTTCTCGCATCTCAGGCAGTTTCTATTAGCTTTTTTCTACTGCTGCATCTCTCAGCAACTAAAATTTCACTCCCGACAAAGACTATTTTATCACATCACCTGTCTTTCAAGATCGCTTAAATTGTGAGCCAGCTTTTCGGGTTACCCTTTGAGTTTGCGCAACTGTCTACTGTACTATCAAAAGCACAGAATGCGCTTCAGGTTCAGCTGATCGCTAATAGCAATATCGACGGCAATTTTCACGCGTATAGAGGGATGTCCTTCCAGTGCGGGTAGGTGGCGCTGCAAGGAAAATCTGCGGATTATCCCGTGCAGGTCACCCAATCATCCTCGCCTTCGAATTTGTTAGTAATAAGGTTGCTTCAAAGAATAAAGCAGTGGCTTGTACACCGCTCCACATCTGTGAATAACTGCGTATGCCAAATAGCCCTGCAATTCTATGAATAGACCGAGTACGCCCACACGACAAAGAGCGATTCGTTTTTTATAATTGGAATTTAGGCGCAGTACTAGCGTTAAAACATTTTTACGACAAAGTCAGTACATTGATTGCCCGCATCTGACCCAAAAATAATAACTAAGGTATTTTTGTACAGGCGCAGTACAGCTATTAGTTCGTTTTGCCTTTCTTTGCACCCTTGACTAAGTTGGGCGCTCTAAACCAATCTGGCGAGTGGCACCGCGCGGTAATTCATACAATGCGGCCGTGGCTCGCCGGTGCGCCACGCGGTCATCACCGGTAGTCTCAAATGAAGTGAGCAGTTTTGGATAACAAAAAGAATTGTTACGGATAGAATTTTGGATGCGAAATTTTAACCTTTGGTCACTAATTTGCCGTTCACCTTAGCAAAGGAAGAGTAAGAAATGAAATTTAATTGCATAAAAGGGTTGCGCAAAAAAGTAATGCTAAAAAACGAAGCGATGTTGGCGGATCTGCTTGGGTCACCAATAAAACCTTCAACTGCGCACACGTCGCCTGGGTTCGCCTGAGTTGCCATTGAGGCCATTTGTCTCCGTGCACATTGGCTCGTAAGAAGTACAAACATAGGATAACTTCAATGTGAAATTGAAATTTATATAAATTTTAGATTTTACGACATGAACTTAGAGTATTTTTTATAGAATTGTAAGTTTGGCGCAGAGGATCCATGTAGTGGTCTCTATGACAAACTTCTGGGTTGCGCTGCGTATAGGGCCTGTATCAAGTACTATGAGTGCGTAAAAAAAGTAAATGAGTATCTGTTCTGCGCAATTGCACACAGGAGCTGGCGGATGATCAAGGGGCGGTGCTTATTTTGTAAATGGTCCGAGTACCACTCAAAGGGGAATTAATGATTAAGAGTTATGCCATTAGAATCAAAGTAAAGGGGTCAGATGTTCCGGGATGACGAAAAAACCATGAGAAGCAGCCCAGAACCCGAGACATGGGATCCCCTCCTTGCACGTTCATTTCCGCAGTGATGCGACTCTCAGCGGTGCTGCCCTCTTCAACGCTAACGCTCGCTCTGCTAAACAGCTGGAGACCTGCCGCGAGTGGTTGGTTAACCGATCGGTGGGCGTACCTTGCCGACGGCGCAGTGGGGAAGGCACTGCTAGATTACCGGAGACATCTCCTTCGACGCGAATCGCGTGTCGGTCCGCTCATCTCTCCACTAAGTGAGTCCCTCTTCTTCAACCGTCGACCTTATCGTAGCGGAATCCTCCTTTAACAAGTTGACGACAGCCCCTCTGCGTGTACCTCTGCACCTTTTTGTTTACTTTTTTCACAATCGTTATTACTTCTTCAGTAATTCCACTATTGGTAATTGATGCACAGCTTCCAGATAAGATAATGCACGCACGCAGTTTTAAGATATGAAAAATGCCAAATAAAAAACTAGCCAGCATAGGGTGAAGTTCTGACGCGCATGCGCGTTATGCTGTCGTCAACGTGTTGATCTACTGCGAGGAAATTTCGGTCCAAGCTAGATTCTGTTCAAATTGTCCGGCCCCTTCCTGCAAACGTACCATCTTGCCTTGACTGGGCACGTGTAAATACAATGAAGTTATTAAAAAGTCGTACCAGCAGCATTTCCAAGTCACTTGCGGTACAACGTGCAAAGGTCATAAAAAGAAACTTTGATCCATTTTATGCGCTTGTCGCAACAGCTCGCGTATTAGGTAGGATACTGTTATAAAATTCTCGAAAAGAAGACGAAAACCAGAGATGACTGTAGCTGTGATCGCTAGCCGCGCATGCACATAAAAGCCTTGCAGTGTTGTTAAATGTCCTAACGCTTATCTTACAGATAATCATTTTGTTCTTTTATTTCAGTCAGCGGGCCATTGCCACCTCGTTACTAGACCGGAAGTGTGCATTCGGTCGGTGCCGGTTGCACTATGGTCCTACAACCATCATCACCCAATCAGTCACCACCAAATCCAACCACCAACACCAACACCAACACCACCAACACCAACACCACCAAAACCACCACCACCCCCACCATACCCCGTCGTTCCGCCGTCCACTGTGATCCTCAACGGTGATTTTTCGCTTGGTGTAGCCAATGTATAAAACCGCTATCAATTTCTATTCATCCTTCTGAAATCCATATAAAAATTGCTGACGCGCTCCCCCTCCCACTTTCACCACATCCACCATCAACACCAACACCACACCGCGAACCTTGTCAAAAACCCTCCTCAACTCTTTATATTACTCCACTTCTCTCTTGCCGCGGAGCCTCGTTTCACGCTTTGATGGATGATCTCGTTCGGTCGGTGCTCGTCTCGCACGGGTTTTCTAGTCGGGCGCCGTGGGGCTTGGCCTACGTCCGTGGCTTTGCTGTCTGTGACGGCTTGCTAAGTTCTTATTTTGATTATTTTTTATGAATTTAATATTTGTGTTTTATGATTTCTTTCTCCACTTTCTTCTCTTTCTCATATATTTTCATCATTTTTCCTATTCGTACAGTGTCATCTTAGTCTGTTTTACGTTTCGTTTTATGTCATCCAGTGCATCCGCGCTAACCGTTTCCGCAGCGGGTAAGGGAGATACGATCCATTCTCACATATACACATACACTTACCTAGACAGATCCTTCCGTCTACTAAGTTGTAAACGCTCTCTCTCACATACATCTCCCCGTCCTCCTTCGAAATCCGAGTTATTTTGAAAGTCTAGTTTGATTGTTTGAGTGCGATACGTCACCAAGTCAGCACGTCATCGACACTCATACCCATACACCACTTGTTCCACACTTATATCTGTTTTGTATGAATCAGTTATGTGGTTTTTTTTCTCAGTTTTTGTTTTTGATTTTTTCATTATTGAGTTTAATGATGAGCGTTTCCCTGCAACGAAGTTTGATGTTATTTGATTTGAAACGTAAAACGTTGGAACTGCTTTACATTCTGACAGAAAAAAAAGAAAACAGAGTTCCTTCCACAATCTTCTTTTTGTCTTCTTAATTTTTATTCATTTCATCTGTATCACTTCATTCGAAAATGAAGTCGAATTGTTGTATTCTTTGACATTTGTTCCAAACCCTATGGTTTTTTATACATAGTCCATATGATTCACTGTGTTTTAGGTTATCGATATTAATAATAAAATTCTACACGAATATCTTCTCTTTTTCAATCGTGCTCAGCTCGGCGAGATATGTACTTACGAATCGATCGAGTCTGTCCCATTCAGGTGCGCGCGGTTGCAATGCGGCTACTCAGCTCTGTGGATCGATAATACAGCTCCTCTTGATATAGTTCGTCTCCCTTTACTTAACAGCAACAACGTGCCCTATCTCGATCCTATAAGAAGGGTCAAACTGAATGCACACTTTGATGGGGGCAACTCGTTGTTGTTAGTTCATGGGGGTGTGTCAGGTGGTAAGTCCGCCTCATACTGTGGTCTTATCAAACTGCAATGCCACGCACATCAGTGTTCTTATTCAGGTGACTTGGAAGAGTCTGCTCCGGTTCTTGTAAGGTCTTCTGTTAAAGTGAAGGAAACTCCCGAAAAAAAGGTGCTGTGCTAAACAAGTGTAGTGCCGAGAGAATTGGGAGAGAAGCCTCGTGTACATGGCTGCAAAAGAAATCTGAACAGATGAGAAAGGATCTTCCAAAAAGGTTTGAAATTTAAAAATTGAAAATCCAGGAAAGGCCGCTACCAGAAGGGGATCGAGCTAACAATGTTACATTCCCCTTTTCACAGCTCTAATCCAGATTAGTCCTGATTTTTTTGGCCTTTAGTTCAGTCATTCTTACTGAATTTTTCTAGGTATTTTTTCAAAAACAAAGGGATCTTTCAGATGTCACCATCTGAAGAACCTACCTTAAACTGAACGCCATTCATTTTCTTCTGAGTACCTCGAAAACTCTGCCGTCCAAAGTACAAAATTTTCGATTCTTCTCTGCACCTGGTTTGTTGCCAGAGGGTTAAAATACCTGTTTACATGAATTTGCTGAGGTACGCGTTCATAGGCTGCCCCAGGCCGCAGATCTTTGGTATATCGATTGTTCAGCGTTTCAAAGCCTTTCTCAAGCCACGAGAAAAATCTCGCAACAGGCTATCGTTCAGCCATAGAAACGTTTCTATTACCCTAGGATGGCGAAAAAATAGGAATAAATCACAAAATATCCAAAAAAAGTAATAGCAAATATGATTTACGGGTGGGATTTGGTCGAGAGGCGGGACATGCACTATTAACAGATGTGGGTGCTTTGTTCTGATTTGAAATTCTCTTCGTCATTTGTCTGGCAGAGTAGAGGCAATTTACTCGTCAATTCTGAACACTATGTAAATAAGGCAAACAGTAAAGTAAACAGGCCGAATGCTCCTTTCTGGGCGAAAAACTTCGGTTGACATTACAGTATTACCTGTGAGTGGTAATCGTTCTTTACCTTCCAATAAGGGTTGAATGTCAAGTCGCAAATTGCTAGATTGTGTATATTGCGTGGGCCTAGAGTTCAAGTGCTCTCCAAGGAGGGAGACACACTGACAGATAAGCGTCGTAGTGAGACCTCAGATGCCGTTCTCCGATAGCACTGGGCCATCACCCGTTCCCTGAAGCACGTCAGTGATGACCGACGTCGTCATTGATGAAGTGACATCTCACCATTGACAATAACCATGATATAGATATTGACTACCATAAGAGGATAACTTTGCAGCTCTACATGTTCACGGAGAACCCAAGCTTTTTTCCAATTGCTTTCGCCTAAAAAACAGTTGCGGATTTTCTGAATAAAGGCAGTGGTCGCTATGGCTGAGGGGCGGTGCGGTTTTGCTGACGTCACTAGGCGTCATTGGTTAGCTACACCCTAAGCGCCTGGAGGGTATGGCTTAGATCGCCACTTAGCGGCCTTCCACCAATGAAATTCAATGACGTCATTAACACCGCATCGCTCTCCAGCTATCGTCATACTTGCCTTCAAAATTGTTACTTAAAAATATGGGGAAATAAAGACCGTCTCTTGAAGGTGGTTGCCAGCGGCAATTGGTCACCCACTGGAATTTGGCGTGCTGCTGCTGTTTTACCTTAGACATTTTTCCTTCTCGCCCACCCCCCCCCCCCTCCCTCCTTCTCCCACCTAATATGTGCTATTTCAGCACACATAATATCGAGACCTGTTGAGGAGAGAGGGCAAGTTAGTAATAGTTCTGCAATTCTTAGTCTAAAACTTAATCATTGAGCAGATCCTACCCTGGAAAACCAAATGGGACCCGCTCAGTGATTCCCACGCTGTCTTGACCCTGATTGGAAATGACTAATGTCTATATCGCATTACCGTTATAGCGTTCACACATTCATGACGCCATAAATCGAAAGGAAACTTATTTCATCACGTTTTCTTTCCCCCCAGTGACAAAACTCATGATTCAGAGGGGATGCCGCCATTTTTTAACGGTCATACATTGTGTTACCGTGTACCCATTCCACGCTTGTAGTGGCAAGGATGTAGACTCTTGAACGCGTTCTTAGTAGGACCGAGAGCTTATATTCTCAGCACAGGAGGGTTATCAGTTCTTTCCCCTGCTGTAATACCTATCTCTTACGCGTTTATACGAAACTCTTGTATCGGTACAGTAGAGCTAACTGCAATAGTGTTTAAAGGACCTCAAATGAAGTACAAGTTGTCCGATTAGGGGCTCTTGGAAGAGTGGCCCGAGCTGCGAAGACCTAGTGAGTTAAAAGGGAAATTCTAGGGGAGCGCGGGTTAACACGTTGCTAGTTGATTGCAATAGGGATTGCTACAGAAAAAGGACCTAACGACACGCGGCGTGGTACCGGAACTGTGAACTCGAATAGCGCCAATGCGTAAATGTAAAATTACTTACAGAAAACTACAGCTGGCTTTTTTGAGGACAACTTTGTCAGCAGTTCCTATTAAGGTCCCAAGGTTTCTCCGCCTTTGGCTAGGTCTGCATACGAATAGCATCAGAAAATTCAGCTCCTGCAAGTACGTCAATTTGAGACGTCTCGATGTTCAAAGGTGAGAAATTTGGGTCAAGAGAGGATTTCCTCAAGAAGTAATTCGAGCTGATAATTCCAGTCCCACGGCAGCTTATCTTTAATAACATTTCTCTAATGGTAAGATGCGATTTCAGAGCCCAGCAAATTCATCGCCGATTATATTACTGACATGGGCATGTATCCCGTGTTTCCGAAAGCTAGGGACTCGTCGAGTGCAGACCACACAATGCAAGTGACGACGGCCTCCACAAAATGTAAATGTTTTTGCCAATGAAATGATTAGCCGGTTGCAGTTGTATTCATCACTGTCACTAATTACTACTATTATTTACCACGACTTGGGGTCTGTCGTCACTTGTGGTGTGTGGTCTGCACTCGGCGCACACCTAATTCTCGGAAGCAGAGGGTAATTTAGCAAGTTGCAATTTTTCAAGGATGGGATGAAGAGTCCTAGCACTGCTCCTAGTTCACATACATAATTCGTTTCGGTTTTGCATGGAAACTAGTTAGTTCGACGTCTCATTTCCCGACATAATTGGGTTCAAAATCGTAACGGGAGAACGTTTCTCGTTTTCTTTAGGAGAACGTTGATGAAACGTTGCCATGTGTTTCGAATTCAAAACCGGCTTTCTTTTTCTCGATGGCGAAACGATGACTAAAGCAATAAGACCGCTTTTCACAATTCAATCCTTTTTCGAATAAAGTCCGAGCCTCTCGACCAAATCCCACCCGTAAATCATATTTGCTATTACTTTTTTGGATATTTTGTGATTTATTCCTATTTTTTCGCCATCCTAGGGTAATAGAAACGTTTCTATGGCTGAACGATAGCCTGTTGCGAGATTTTTCTCGTGGCTTGAGAAAGGCTTTGAAACGCTGAACAAT